AAAATTCGTATGCATATGATTACGAATAACATTAGACATAGAATATACTTCAAAGACAGAAAATTTTGAATAATATTGTTATTTTCTTTACATTTTGACAATTTTTTTTTTAAATTCGTCAGGCCCGCAACTAGACCCGCGGCTTGCAATCGTGTTAGCATTTTTCTGCCCGCAGCCCGCATTTTTTGGCCCGCAGCCCGCATTTTTCGGCCCGCAGCCCGCAATTTTTGGCCCGCAGCCCGCAATTTTTGGCCCGCAGCCCGCAGTTTCGGCCCGCAGCCCGCAACCCGCAGAATAGTTAAACTCGTATTTAAGCTTGCGCAAGACAAAGTTTGAAGACTCATATCTTCGCAATCACGCAATTATTCAAAAATCGCCACGAGGAAGTTGAGGAGAATTCTTTTAGGAACAACATATATCAATTTCATGGCAAAAAAACAAAAAAACCGCTTGCAGAAAAGCTCTGAAGTAACCCCATACGTTTGTTAACAAATTTCATATGATGAAGCGTTTTACGCATTCTGATTGGCTTAGGGCAAAATGTAAACAAAAGCGCTGATTGGTCGAGAACGAAATTCCCCCTTGTTACTTGGAACTTGGGCTTCTGCGCTTATTGCTCTCTCTTCTGAGAGCAGTGTATAAGCGCAGAAGCCCTGGGTACGAGGTTGATATCATTTATTGGATTTATCTGGCTTAGGCCAACTTCGAGGACACTGGAAACCAGGCTTAAACAAATTTATTGCAACTCCACATTTTGACCCTTCAACTGATTTTCTCAAAAAATTTAATGCCCCCCCCGTTCTAGTAAATTATTTATACTCATGGGGTCATGGCCCCACCTTTTGCCCCCCCCCCACCCCTTCCATAAATAAGGACTGGTTCCTAACTGCAGGAAAAATATGTGCACTTCACAGAACATTTGTAACAATTCATAATTTATTACTTTTGCCTCAGGCTGGGTAACCACAACAGAAGTTGCCAAATAGGCCCTTTCAAGGTAGCTTGTGTGTCAGGCTCGATGCTTGAAATAGAGCCTGTTATAGTTATACTAGTGATGGGCGATACCGAGTACTCGGTATTCGATACCAGCGATACCACAAACAGCGGTATCGGTATCGATTACTGACATGGTATCGTTCGATACTTGCACCCTTTTTTAAACGATATGTTTAATTTCACTTCTTGGTTGAATAAGACTTCATGAACCACTAAAATAAGTCTTAATATTCCAAATGTGTACAAAATATTTAGTTAGGGAAGCCTCACATATCGATTTTTTCCACGAGAAACGTCATATGTTCGTTTGGGGGGGGTTCTGTGACGTTTCTCTGTAAACATCATGGAAAAATTCGATAGTTTTTATCTTTGCTGAATATAAAAGAGAAAATAATTTGATACAAACAGCAGTCTATACATTCGTAATACCATACCTGTTCTATACCTATACATTTATATTATTACGGCTTCTTTGCATTGCAAACACTCAAATTTCAAGAAAAACGCGCTAAAATTATCAATATTTCAATTTCATGCAAAAAAAGTTGTTTTGAGAAACGTTGGAAATTTTGAAGTTCATATTTATAATAAAAAAAGAGTATGTCATATTCCTCGCGGAAGCATCACCAATAGCCGACCGAAAAAAAATGTATATAGAAAATTACCTTATTCATGTGTACTATAAGAACAAAATATCGATAATTATGTGCGACGTTTCTAAGAAGGGGTGGGGGGGGGGGTCTCCAGAGAAACGAACATATGATGTATGTTTTTCCGCTGACCGGCATGTATCGAAAGATAGCCGATCAGTAGCAATTTAAGTACTCACTTCCGGTATCGAAAATTGAAATTTTGTGTTCATTTTGGTATCGAAATAGGTATCGGTATCGGCCGATACCGATCTTAAAAGTATCGGTATCGGTATCGAATTAAAAATGCTGGTATCGCCCATCACTATGTTATACCCTGTGAGCAAAGTCCTCTCGGATTTCTTCTCGGCACGGCACAGAGAAGCGAGAGAGACTCTGCAGAACTTGTGTATAAATTCATTTGAGCATGCGTGAAGGTTGCTAAGCAACTGCCTATTTCCCAGAAGAAGATTTAATAAATAGTTTCCGGTTCGGATCAAAACCGGTTATAAAACTGGTATCAAACCTGAAATTACTCATAATTATAAGTTTTTGGATTGTCGGCTCCTCAAAGAATATATACAAGTTCTGCAGAGTCTCTCTCGTGCTGAGAAGAAATACAAGAGGACTTTGCTCGCAGGGTAAGCCTGTTACTGAAGTCAATAAAAAGTGGACAGTGATTGCAGATATGTGAACTCACCCGCATTGAGTGGGTGACACCCGCATTTTGGAATCATCACACGCGGAAAAATTGGCACATAGAATCACCCGCATTAGCAAATTTTATAGCAATTCACCCGCATTCTGTGATTCTGTCTTCTGATTCTTGATTCGTTGTTCTGTTTTTGGTTGGTAGAGTGTATGCATGCGCACATCTACTTCTACTTCAACTAGACTTAACTAGTTAGAAATATGGGGCTTAGCAAGGCTTTTATAAATCACCAATCAATTTTCTCAACAACAAAAAATGACGTCATGTCAAAAATTATATATCACCCGCATTTTTGTTACTTAGGGTTCACATCTCTGTGATTGGGGATGCACAAAAATAACAACCAATCAAAATGGCGATTGTTAATTATGTATCAGTCAATTCCAGGTCCCCAGGTATTAGCCATTTCTGGGAAGAAAATGGCTATGTCCACAAGCCATTTGCAATCAAATTAAACATCAGTTTTCCAGCAAATCTACCAAATCCCCCATGATAGAAAATGTCAAAATCCTCACCCCAGGGCTAAAAAATATCGGCAATAGCCCCACCCCATTGTGTTTATACAACCTTGCAAATTTTAATACTAGTAGGAATTTCCATTGTGTTTGCAGCCCATACACTTTGTGTTTCATTATGGCATCTTGACCTTGAAAGAGTCTATTACTGTGGCTCCAACATTTTCCCGTTTGGCGTTAGAAACACACTACATTGATCATAAAATGACTGGAATATTACAGATTTAAAAGCCTGACACCTAGCGGCAAAGTTTAAATTTCACACAAGTAGTGATGAATGATGATCACTGTGGTTGTATTTCGGTCTTGTTAGGCTACACCATGTTCTTTTGACCACCTATCCGTAACAGGATTATTTGCATCAACAGCCGTAAAAAAAGCACCCAAATAAACAGCAGTTTGCGAATATTATTGTTGCGATTTACAAAGGTTGCGGTCCGTTCCAAGTTCCAACTTTGTAAAATTGAAAATTGTGAACTTTTGTCCTCTATTTCAAGCTTGTAGCCTTCCAAGTTTACTCACATAAAATGACTTTCGCTTTATAAAGTCTGTTTCATCGGAAACCTTTTAAGGTTCATCGGAAAAATAAAAAGAATATGTACAAAATCGATGATACATTGATACCATTCGCTCGTAGTAAGCGGCCATCTTGAATTCAGCGACGAATAGTAATGACGTAATTTTTATTTTTTTATTAATGACGTAATTTTTAACCGTGATCCGACACAAATGCGTGCCGAAACCTAGAGTCGCTGCGGGCTCTGCCCAGCGACTAATAATTATGCATAGAGAAGGTTTTTTATTGCATCATATATTCTTCGCAGATTCTCGAATTATATGATATAAAATTTAATAAATTAACTCAATTTAACAAAAAATTAATATGTACAATTTTAGATATAACAGGGAACAGCTGTGAATAATGCAACTTTACTTTTGGCACAGGGCCTCTTTTAAGAATTTGTCAGTGGAGGGTCCATCAAGAGAAAGGGACCCGACTAAGAAGTGGCAGGGCTGTCGCTATCAGGAAGGTGTAAAAAAAAAATTGACCTCTCCCGTCAACAACATTTTTGGAAAAAAATTTTAGGAGCTGGTCAAAGACTATAGGAAAATTTGGTCAAAACAAGACGACACCTCCCCCCCCCCCTCCAATGTTGATGCCTTTGCGACGTCCCTGGGGAGGTGGTGAACGGGAAAAGTGGGAACTTGTCTGGCCCAGATGGTCATGGGAATACTAAAATACTCCTCTTAATTAACTAAGTTATTCTTCCCTTTTTTGCTTATGTTGTAGACAGAAGGGACCTTCACTGGGGGGGGGGGACAACATAGTTCACTGGAGGGGCCAAAGTCCCCCCCCCCAGTCTATGGTATTAAAAGAGGCCCTGTTTTGCCATATATACCTTACATTGGCATATCCTTCTTACCACAAGAACATGTGGTTAATGCTTGACAACTGGACTCTGCAGCTCAGAGGCCAGAGGCCTACACCCCACATGTTCTATTCCTGACAGAAGGCCTATATATAGCTTCCGCACATCCTCCCGGTTAGATCTAAAATGGTGTGTGAATATTAAAAACTGGGTTTTGACAGTGCATAAGCGTAATGATGGTGGGAATATGAATATTTGGGGAAGAAATATGAATATTAAGAGTAGGAATATTAATATTTGAAACAAAAATTGAAATACATATATACCCCCTCCCACATTGAGGTTAAAGCCTATAAATTTACTTTGGCAATTTTAACTAAAAACCAATACAAAACCTATATTTATGAACCCTCTTATTTGGAAAAAAATCAGAATAAAGAGTCTGTAAACATCACTTATCTTCTTATCAAAATTTCTTGCAGATCCTCATCAATCTGTTTTATTTAGGATTACCAAAGAGAGGTTATCCCACAGTAAGACAATTCATAGAAAAAATGTGTTGCTGTATCACTGTCATTGAGTTTAGGGTACACTTGAGAGGGTTGTTTAACTTCTGGAGGGTCCACCTTCGGGATAACCAGGCAAGGGGGGAGCGCTAGCCTCAGGCTGACCTGGTGGAAAGGTAAGATGAGCTGTTGGACACTGTCTTTGGGATGGTTGAGCATAGGTGTACATTGGCATGTAGCTTTGATCCCCAAAGTTTGACTTGGCTTCCTTATCACCAACAAACACAGAGGAACTCCCAACTGCTGCGGCATAACTTGGTGGAGGTATGTCAGGGTAGCCAAGTGCAGCAGGTGGAGCAGATGGTAACGCTGAAGCGGTGGGTGGTACCCAATGGGCAAATTCCATTTCCATATATTGACTTTCTGAAAGTTGAAAGGAAGATTGCCTGCCATATGACGGCCGAAATGGCACTGTACCCATGGTTATATGAAGTGCAATTACTGGATTAAAGCCCCAAGGAACCCTGACTTCAAACTTTACCTGATAGCTAACACTTACAGGGCTGGTCTGAATTGTAGGAGGAACGGGTGGAATGAGGAATGGTTGGTTATTCCAAGAATCCTGACTTCTTCCCGGGATCGTCTGACCCTCAAAACGTGCAATTGCTCTTGAGCTCGACGTGCTTGCATCACTTGCAGAGTAATGAACATTTTGTACAAGTATGGCCCTCATACAGCTCATCTCTCGAGTTGAATCATTTTCACAGGAGGCATTGAGAAATATCTGTTCACCCGGACAATACCCTGACCTATCGAGACTTGCTTGCATGCTGAGGTTGCCAGAAACACAGCAAAGGCATCCAATTTGCTTCTGTTTTGTACCACTCGGAGATGCTAAATACTGAGGAAGATTAATATCAATCACTTCGTTGACAGTGAAAGCCTTTCGAACTTTATGATCAAACTTCCAGGGCCGATCAACTTTAGTCTCTATGTAATATCGAATGTGACCAGTGCCTCCTTCAAATGAACTAGGTAGAGGCGAGGGAAGTGTGAATGTAAACTGATAAACATGTCTGCCAGGAGGGTGCTTCACATGTTCAGTTGAACTCCAACCAAAAAGAATTGCTTGTAGATCTACCAGTTGCTGACTGCCAACGTGGTGGTCTGTATGAGTTCTAGTGTTTCCTTGACTGTCTCTCTCTGTTCGTGTTGTTGTCCAATGACAATACGACAACCCGACCAATTTCACGTTTATCTTGTTACATTTCATTGGTTGGGTTACGTCGACAATAACGGCACCATTTACTTGTTCCCCTGGGTAAAATACGTCCTTGTTCCCGTCGATTTCAACTTGGAAATTCTGCAATTTTCTCACCATTTTGCCTCGTTGTTGCGGCGTAGAGGACTTAAATACTATATAAAAGATGACTAATCGTCTCAAAGCAGTCATGCGTTTAATCCCCGGAATAGCTGGAATTTAATACAGGTCTTTCACGTCATATATAATAGTTGTTTTTGAAATATTGCGGTGCCCGTGCCAAGTTTGGCACCACTTTATATTCTTACAACTTTAGTTTGTTAGTTTTTGTCCAATCTCATTCCCAGAACCACAGGGAGTAGCAACCTCCCGCAGGGACTTTCCACCGGCTGGGAAAGACCCAGAGGGAAAGACCCTGCTATTGGCTGGTCACGTGTCTCCCAGAATCTGGGAGATAGCAAAAAAAATCAATTAGGGTGGGTACCTAAGTACGTTTTGTCATTGAGCGAGGAGTGAGCGAAGAAATCTGCCCAGAAATCATGCAGGAAATATTTACAAAATTGTATATTTTATTTGTCATGAATACTGTCAATATTACACAATGGTAAATATCAAATCTCATTGTGCGCAGAATGTCGGTGAGCAAAGATAGATCAGATTTCGATAGACAAATTATGCCGATACAGCTCGTCGAAGAAATCAACACGTCGCAAACGTTACAAGAAAATATATTTCTACACCAGTACTGACCGATGTGGCTGTTATTTAGCTGTTGGTGTCTATCCTAAACTACAAGGATTTATTTAATACTGTGATGTGTAACGAAATATAGAGATCTTTTGATTTCTGAAATATCGCAAACAATGTTGCTTGTAAACAATGCTACTCGGACTGCTGAAACTTCCGAACCATCCTCAGATACGAAAAACCAGAAGCTGTTGAAACTTGATGCTCAAGAAATATGTCGAAGTATACCTCCCTGTTATCAAACCTACGGTAATATAATCCGACAATAGCCTACTCAAAGATATTAAATCAAAGACTCGTTTGTGCGTGTATGTTACAAATACGAATACTGTAGCCTATATGTTTCATGTTTGACATTTAGGACATTTAGAGAATGCAGTCCGCATGATAAATTTGATAAATAGCTTTATTAATTGTGACATTAGCTTTACTGTAATGAAATTACTTTACTGTAATGAAGTACTTTGTGAAATATAATACTGAATCAAACTCTATAGGCTATGTAAGTGTTTATATATCTGTGGTGGGTACATATGACTATATATATGACTGCATATGCATATCAGACTGAGGGCCTGTTCATATGATCCCGCTTACCGGGACGTCTCGCTTACCGATGATCTCGCCGCCTATCTATTTTCCTATAAAATTTTGCATTGTTTTCATATGAGAAAGCGAGCTGGCCCGCTTGCCGAGATCTCGTTTGAATTTGCCGAGATCATAGGTAGGCGGGATGAAAATTTTTCCATATGAACACGCCAGCCCGCTTACCGGGATGAAGTGAAACAAGTCTTGCCGGTTTAATTTAACACTTTTTACTTGGTTTTATGTTTGTTTTGTAAACAAGTACTAAATAACCACCTGAAGCAATACTTTTTCTTGTAAATAAACGAAGAAAAACACTAAAATCGCCAAGTATTTGTGTTGCTTGACTGAAATGTGGAAGTTTTGCATACGCTAATTATAGAACTACAATGTAATTTCATCTCGGCAAGCGGGACGAAATACTCCATATGAACGCACGGAAATATTCGTCTCGGTAAGCGAGACGTCCCGGTAAGCGGGATCATATGAACAGGCCCTGAGTGTGATATCTCGGTGTTTATGCCGTGGTTTATGCCGTTATTTATTCCGTGGTTTATGAAATTATCTAAGACTATGTTCATATTATAAAGTGTGTACTGCAGTATATCAGAAAAATACTGTTAATATAATATTGCTGTTACCCCATTACTTTATAGTGCATAGAGGCCAAAAAATTATCATGCTAAAGCTGTGATTGTATATACCACCTGATGATACACGCCCTGAGGCTGAAAATTGTTGTACTTTACTACCTAACAACCTCCTACCCTACCGATCTACAGAGTTTTTTAATATATGACGAACTATTTAATTAAAAGTATTTTCAAAGATAAACCATCGACAGTTTTAAAGTGAGCATTTAGTCTCTGTTCTCGGCAGTGTCCACATGTTTACATTGTGATTTGTGACAAAAAGTTAATTACATTTCAAAATTTTATCAACCTTCACTATAAAATGAGACGCGTACTATTAGTAAATCTGCACAAAGTTTATCAACGTTTTCAAACAAAAAATCTAATGGCATATTTTCGGAACAGATAAAAGTGAAAATGTACAAACGTTGACGACTGACCAGTTCGGATATGAAAATATGTTTCAAGAGAATACCCAACTTCAAAGTTTACAGTATATATTTTATTTGTTTCTTGACTTGACTGTTGATAAAATGCTACATGCAGTGTTTTTGTAATTTAAAAGCAAACGGAGGTATAAAATAGAAGTTAGCGGGCGCTTCGAACCATATATATCGTAAAATCCCACTCCTGGTATTTGAAATTTAACGTTTTCTGTGGAAGCATGTAATTTGATACTTTGCCACTCCCCCTTGGGCAATCAGTTTTTGTAGAGTCACGTGACCAGCCGATACCAGGGTATTTCCCAAAAAGACCCTGGGTACGAGGATGAGGGAGTAGAGGAGTCGAACTAGTTTGATTCAATAATAGAAATTATTACTATTTGTGAAATAAAAAGACTCAGCCATTTATTTTTTACACTCGCAGATACTGTAACTGATTTATTTTGAGAACCAAGAAAATCATGTGTAAAGCCAAGGTTAATTAAAGCTTATACTCATGAATCAACTGAAATTGCAGTTTTGAATTGGCCATGTTTACCACAAAGTTTGGTGGAAAGTTTAGACTAGTGAAATGGATCCTGGAACATTAAAGTACGGTACAGTTTCTAGGATAGTGCAGTTTTCAGGATATACTCGAGTGCTGCAAAATAAGTGAAAAATTGAAATAAGAAAAATATACAGAGTCAGACCACAGCACAATAATTAATATATCTAGTGTATGACAACACAACTGTTAGTATAATATAGGCGGAAAATATTGATATAATTGCATGTTGTGCTCCCTTTTTTACCAATAAAGGCAACGTCTTAAATTATCAATAAAATCGCAATTATTTTGAGCTTTTGAAGCCCTACTTGGATTTCATTGCCATGGCAAGGTAGCGATGTTGGATCAGGCGATTTCTGGCAATCGATCAGAAACGTTTTTTATTTTGCTTGCGATAGAAGAAATTCAAAATTCATCCGGAAGAAAAATTAAAATTGTATTTTGATATCGCGGAAACTTCCCGCGAAGGTCATGTCAGAAGTTCTCGAAGAAAGAATCTTAACTCAGAGTTTTTGCAAGTGTTTTAATAGTTGACGTAGACGGATCATTTCTTGTTAAAGCGGAAACTCTTTTACGCTCTGAAATACGTGTGTGAATGTGTCGGCAACACCCAGTTTCCGAGTGGACGGTAAGTTTTCCTTGTGTTTCCTATGTTCCTAATAAATCTTTTACAGTTATTGATATGAATTAAGATTTTTTAGGAACATAATTTAACGTTGTAGAGGTACAGAGTTGCCTGCCGAGGAGGGTTAATGCTAAGATACAAACATACATACCACTAAACAATTACACAATATTACATAATTTACAGTACAGGCAGGAACTGGCCACAGAGATAATCGCCAATAACGGATCCCGAATCAAATTGTTTTCCTATCTTTATGTGTTCAGAAGGCGCTTGAATAGCGCGAGAGATTTGCGTGGCAGTCGTCACGCGTGGAGCTGCCTTCGTGAAAAACCGGTTTGACCGGGTTCTTGGGATTTTACTTTCAATTATTATTATTAATCAAAATCTTTACACACGGTAGCCTATTCAGTAACTATTAAAAACTAACTTTATATTTACAAGAGGTACTGGTTTTCAAAGGGCCGTGTAATAAAAACGAAATCCTATTTACTATGATACTCGGTTTTCAGTAACTAAAGTTTATTTGCTGTTAGCCATCGGTGGACATTCTCAAGCTCTTCATTAAGTTTGGTTTCAATTTCACTCAAGCTTTGTCCAACACAGGTTAGATTTGTATCGTCAGCAAACATTGAAGGTTTTGACATTTTCAAACTATTTGGGAGATCATAAATATAAAGAAGAAAAAGGATGGGACCAAGATTCGATCCCTATGGAACCCCACATTTAATATCATTTGCATTTGTTTTATCGAGGATTTTGGATCGCGCGATTATTTCGAAAAGCACATTTAAGATTATATTTTTCTGACTATTTTTTTGTAAGCCATTATTCTAAATATATTTTTTGAAAGCTTAACGAGTTCTATCAATATCGTGGCTACATTTATGGCGATCCTGCCAGGATATATGGCAAATTTGAAGGGAAATTTATCGATCGAAAAACGTGGTTGAGTCGTGCGTGGTTTTGTGGATATACGTTAAATCGTTAACATTTAATAGAAGGGCAAATTGAAGGTTTATGGGAGTTGCTAGAGCAAAGCATGAACGTTATGGATGAGCTCAGTCATGCTTATATGTAAATTGTTAAGCATGACATGCAGTAATGCCGAACAACGAATACAGAGGCAGAGAATTTGAATCTGAAGCAATTGAAAGGGCGGAGGGCGTAATTAAAGAATTTTTGGAAGTTGAATCAAAACAAGCAACTGAACCAGTCAGTATTGTAAACACTCAACACACACCAACAAGTCAACAGAATTTGTTAGCAGCAGAAAATAATACGGGAAATAAAAGGAACTGCGCTTGAAGCGATTCGAGGGTTGGGGGTTTCTTTACCTGAATACGAGGAGGCTAAGAAAATTCTGTAGACAAAGTTTGGGGTGCAAAGGCGACAATTGCAGGCTGATATGGATCAGCTAGAGGCAATGCCTTCCCTGAAGGGTAGTGATGTGCAGGGCTTGGAGAGATTTGCAGATCTTGTCCGGATAACCGTTGTTAAGTTGCAGGCAGAGGGTCGGGATGGAGAGTTGGGGGAAGGTACGTTGCATGGCTTGTTGGTCAAAAAGCTTGCAGAAAGACCGGTTGAAAGCTATATAGTCGTTAGCTTAGGGAACATAACAAGGAGAGGTCAGTGTTAAGCTTGAAGGATTGGTTGAAGGAAGAGGTTAAGGTGAGAGTCTAGTGGAAGCTGTGGAAATGGCATTGTTTTGTCGTTGAAAAGGAATGAGGCTGTTGGGGGAAAGTCTAGATATGGTGATACAGGTCGGTCCCGTACACTATTTGCTGGTCGTGGTGGAGTTGGTGGTAAGGATGTGAAGCCACCTTGTGCAGTGTGTGAGGGGAACCATGGTATATGGTCTTGCCAAAGGTTTCAGGATATGAAGGTTCAAGATAGATGGAACATCGCTAAAGTCAAGCACTTGTGCTTTCGCTGTCTTGAGAGTGACCGCCAGGGGAAGGCATGCCTTAGCCAGTCCAAAGCCTGTAAGACTGATGGTTGTACAAAGAATCTCCATGCCCTGCTGTATGATTCTGCCCCACCAGTTAAACGCCCAGAGGACAAGAATCCGGTTGTTCTATGGGAGGGGTAAACTGATTTCCGCACACATACCACAACGCATGACACCCCATCCACTGAAGCACTCTCACTACGAACAATTCCGATATGGTTGAAAGCGAACAATCGAAAGGAGTGAAAGTTAATGCGCTACTCGACGATGCGTCAAACGAGACGTTCTTTAATTTAACGCTGAAGTTTCAGGAGTGTTGGACATTCAAGAACCATTGCAAACAGTCAAAGTACGCGTGCTGAATGACGAGATTGAAACATTTGAGTTTATGCCAGTAAATGTTACTATTGAGAGTGTCGACGGACTGTTTTGTAAGGTCGTTTTGTTTGTCGAATGGTTACGGGACTCGCTTCTAGGAGGTGGAAAATTATGATACTGACGGTAATGGTGCGAAAGTGTATACTGAAGAGGAGCAGTTGGCATTAATTAAAGAAGATGGAATCATCGATAAGCCATGACGGCACTCGGTACAAGATAGGAGTCCGTGGAAAGAGAACCGACCTAAACTGTTAAACGAAGGTTAAGGAAAGACTAATTTCTCGGAGCGGAATATCAGAAAACAATCGAAGCGTACATTAAAAAGGGTACCTGCGCCGTGTCAAGATTGAGGAAAAGCTTCCATCCGAAGTGTGGTACGTTCCACATTTTCCCGTCGTAAGATGGAGAAGACCATTACGAAAGTGCGCATTGTTTTTAACTGTTCAGCGAAGTGTAATGGAGTCGCGTTAAACTATGTGGGACCTAAGCTACAAAAGGAATTGATTGATATACTTATTCGTTTTCGTCGCAAACCTGTGGCGGTGGTGTGCGATGTTAGAGAAATGTTCCTTCAAGTTGAGATCAAAGAGTGCGACCGTCCGATGTTCTGGCTGTTGTGGCGTGACCTGGACAGTAACCGAGAACCAGAAGTCTACGAATTCAATCGTGTAGTGTTTGGGAAAAACTTTGCGCGGATGGAATTGCAATTCGTAGCCCAAGAAAACGCTAGACGACATCAAGAGACGTACCCTATGGCTACTGGGGCCGTGCTGACGTCCACGTATATGGACGACTCTATCGATAGTGTGGAGACGGACGAGGAGGGCATTGAGTTATACCATTGCCGGTATGCAAGCGCGGTATGCAAGCGTGGAAGTGGATTTCAAATTCCCCAGCTGTCATCGCATCAACACCAAAGGAAGAGCGAGCAACTGAATGATAGATAAATGACAGCCCAACTTCAGCCGTCAAAACTCTTGGGCTCTCCTGGCATAGCAACGGCGACCTGTTACCAATATCTTCGCCTGGGTGTTCATCAGAAGTGTTGCTGACTAAGCGGAACGTATTGAAGACAATTGCAACAGTTTTTGATCCGCTTGGTCTGATCAGTCCATTTGTCATCGTAGACGAAGTTGCCGATAAGATCGAGATGTGGTTTCAACAGCTGTTAGACCTGGAAAGCGTGCGTGTACCAAGGTGTTTACGTGAGGCTAAGACAGTCCTGAGTTAATCTGTGACCACGTTCGTCGACGCTTCCCTTAAGGCTTATGGAACGGTCGTCTAGAAGTGCGAGTACGAAGATACCACCACAGTCAGATGATCGCATCCAGGACGAAGGTTGCAACGTTGAAGCCAATGACGGTTCCAAGGCTAGAGTTGATGTACGCTATACTAGGTTTGCGATTAACATAACGTCTCATTCCGATTCTTGAAATACCGATGAGTATGGTGAGTGACGTTTTACTCGGACCGGACAGATGTTTTGTGGTGGATTAGAGGCCAAGGACGAAATTTTTGGTCATTCATCGCAAACCGCATTGGGGAAATACAAATGTCGAGCGAGCCAGCGCAATGGCAGAACGTGCGTACAGACGAAAATCCGGCGGACCTTTGCACAAGAGATCATTGTTTATGGTGGAATGGACCAAAGTGGTTGCTAGAGGACAAATCTGGCTGGCCAAAGATGCAAATTGGAACCCGTCCTAGATAGATAGATAGATAGATAGATAGGTAGATAGATAGATAGATAGATAGATAGATAGATAGATAGATAGATAGATAGATAGATAGATAGATAGATAGATAGATAGATAGATAGATAGATAGATAGATAGATGGTTTATTTCATATAAACATTGCAGTCAATAGCTAGGCTGAGTTACGCTTATATTTACAAGTTAAGAAAATGTTAAAATACTATACAACTAAATGTCTCTAAAAGGTTCTAAGAATGTTCTAATAATTTTATGATGAATAATTTTTAATGCATTATGTATAATAAAGTACATTTTTATAGTAATATATGATGAAATAGTAATTTGGCGCAAATTAAATAATGTAATTACTAGGTGCAAATTATGCAAATGAACACAAGTGCACAACGTTTGTTTATGTGTCCACAACGTATATTTATACTTGTTATTTAAAAAGTCAAACTGTCAAACCTTAAACTTGTCCTGGTTTATATTCCACTTAATCCACTATATTGTATAAATTCGCTGGGTCCACATTTTGGGGTCGTCGAGTCGTTACACAAAGAAAAACACATCAATTTAACACGCAAGAGAGTCCAGAGTGCAACACAACGTATTTTCCATAGGAAACCGGCACAATTCTTTGAAAATTCAACAAAACTGTGTGAAATATATAAAAGATGCCATAGATCGCTCAGTGAAAAACGTCATTTTGAGACTGAAATGAATATGTCACTGGAGCACTCTATCCTTGGAGTTCGGAATTGTGCGCGTGCGTACAAGTGTATGGGCTAATAAACGAAAAATGTACCACAAGCCTGGCATGAGCCGCCTATTACGTACATAATTACGAGCTTATTACTATAGTATCTAAATCACGGAACCGAGGGGAATCGATGGCATTTTAATTGGCTTAATCGTTGTACCCTGAGCCTGCGATGAGCTAACGCAAACTCGATTTGTCGACGACGAAGAAAACAGAAAAAGAGAGATTTAAGACACTTGGCCTACAGGCCAGTGTAATAACCTTGCACCCGAATATCTATGTTCTAAATTAAATTCACTTATCGCAATAATGTAACTCCTTATACCGGGTGGGGCAAAAAAAGTACGACTGTTTGATTTACTATAACTTAAAGTGCTACTGCAGCGAATTTTTGGACCTAGTTTTTTTAGCTTAAATAAAAATTCAGTCTTTTAGAAGCATTTTCATATATATTTGACCATCATACGATGCTTAGATTGGAAGTTGCCAAATTTAACCTCTGAAGTTTTTTATCACGTGCGAACTTTTCCGCCGCCATATTGATGCCGTGTGACGTCACGAAGATATGAAGGTCGTATTTGTAGTGAATTATATGGGGCGTCAACATATTGCAGTGGAATTTTTGTCTATTTCACTTGTTTATGGCGCAGATAACTGATTTTTAAAAATCGAAGAACAAGTACTATATCTTATTGTTTATTTGACGGCGGAATGACAGTTAGAGACTCAGATAATAGGGTCAGTACTACATCTGGAAGTCAACGAGTATGGACTCGGTCCTCGGCTAAGTCGGCTAATTCGAAATACGATGATGAACCAGTTGCCTAACAGCTTATATACAGCTTCACTAGACGAAGTGATAGAGACATTATATAACGCCGCTGCAGATATAGGCAACTACCATCTGTGACTATGTTGGAGCAATCAAGCGATGGTACAATACCTGTAAAATTTAATGGTGGTAAGCATCCTCGTACCCAGGCGAAAAAGACCCTGGTATTGTCTGGTCACGTGACTCTACAAAATTAATTGCCCAAGGGGGAGTGGCAAAGTGGCAAATTACATGCTTCCACAGACAGAAAATGTTAAATTTCTAATACCAGCAGTGGGATTTTACGATATATAGTTCGAAGCGCCAGCTAATTTCTATTTTATACTTCTGTTTGCTTTTTTAAATTACGAAAACACTGTAGCATTTTATCAACAGTCAAGTCAAGAAACAAATAAAATTGTATACTTTAAAGTTTGAAGTTGGGTATTCTCTCTCAAACATATTCTGATATCAAACCGGTCAGTCGCCGTCAATATTTTTATTTTCTCTTCTATCTGTTTCTAAAATATGCCATTAGATTTGTTGTTTGCAAACGTTGATATACTCTGTGCCAATTTACTAATAGTACGCCTCTTGTTTATTGAAGATTGATAAAATTTTGAAATGTAACTTTTTGCCACAAATTACAATGTAAACATGACCATAGGCGTACGGGACGGGGGGCAGGGGGGACAGCTGCCCCCCCAAAAGATTACAAAGTCGAGGTCGCCAAAATTAATTGTTCCGGAAAAAAATTTTTCGGCACTAGTCGGGCACAATCCGAAAAAGTCGGGCAAATTTTTTCCGCCCCCCTAATTTTTCCTTCCGGTACGCCCATGAACATGACACTGCCAAACAGAGACTGAATGCTCACTTTAAAACTGTCGATGATTTATCTTTGAAAATACTTTTAATTCAATAGTTCATCATATTTAAAACTTGTAGTATGTAGAGAGGTAGGAGGTTGGCAGGTAGTAAAGTATAAAAATGTTCAGATGAATGTACAAAAATTGTCAGCCTCAGGGAAATGCATATTTCAGGCGGTGTATACGGGGGAATCCCGAAACATCGAGTTGGATTCGAGTTCGAGTTAAACTTCGAGTTACTTATACACTGGCGTTTCCGAATGTTCTGGTAATTTCCGAACAACTCCGATTCATGTTTACTTCTTCGCAACTTCAAACACGTGTTATTACGCTTATAAAAGTATGGAGAATGAAACGTAGCAATGTAAATTTACTTTATTATAAATCGTTTTTATAATGCACTTTGTTGTACATCTTATACAGTAATTACTATGTGTATTTTGAAAAAGAATATATTAAAATTTGTACACTTTAAGTATTGTTTCGTTCAAAATATGTATTCGAAACTATCAGTACTATTCTGCATATCCTCACACGTAGTATTAGGGATTATCCTTTATTGTCAAATTTTCTAAAGATTAAGGATATGCCTTATATTAAGTTGAACCCTAACCCCCACCCAACCCCAACTCTAACCTCTAACCCTAACCCTGGTTTAATCTTAATCTGGCTCTAAACTAATCCTAATCTAAAAATGACTGCCTTTTTTTTAATATTCCCGCCCCTGCGCGTTCAGTCTCCCTAATACTACGTGTGAGGATATGTTGCATTATTAGTCTTGAAAGGTCAAGGAGAGACGGCGGTGTAGTACTACAATACTTCATGTGAACTCGTCATATGCGCATCGCTGTTTTTTACAAAGAAACGCCTGGGTACGGAGACAGGGTGTAGTATGCGATAGCAGACTGATCAGCACTGCTTCATTCTCGCACCCAGAGCCCTTCTTACGCGCGGTGCGACCAGGCCGGCTCTGGCCAAATTCAAATCCATAATATATCTGGTATTAGAACAATAACCTTCGTTGTAGCCAATCAGATGCCAGTTTGATATGGATTTGGCCAGAACCCCTCGTCGCGCTCCGTTGACCGCGCGTAAGAATGGCGCTGGGTACGAGAATGGCACTGCCTCTGAGATTCTCTGAGATTAGTCTGCTGTTTCCAGTGGGAGAGGGGGGCTGGGGGGGGGACTGAGTCAGTTTTTACGTTTGAGTGAGTAAAAATAGTTTCAGTTTTCACCACGAGAAGATAAAATAATAATAAGATATGAAACTTCAAGCCACCGTGTATTTAATGCTCTTTTTATTATATAGTCGTAATAACAAAGAAAATGAACTCGATATCTTCACTAGTGAAGATCTAGTTATGGAAAATATTTCACTGTGTATTTTTTTGGTGTCCGGCACTGTCTACTATATAATAAATTAGGGTACCGTACGAGTGCTTTTGTTTCGAATTAAGGATACAAACAATGAACTAATGAAGTACATGATATGAAAAAGGTATCTCTGTAAAAAGATTTATTATAACATTTCAAAATTGTGCGGAAACCATGTCAGGTCAGGGGGCAGATCATTATTCATTAATGAGGTACGGACTAATAGCGGCTGCTTAAAGCGCCATCTGTAAGCTCACAGTCTACCTCGGTCTGCTTCACGCCAGTTTCGGTCCTAATATAACCAGTCACTGAAAACCCCTGATATAGGGAGTGTGCGGGGTGCAATATCTGTAACTGTAATCTGTAACTCAAAATTACCACAAGGTGTTGTGGAAGCACAACCGACAAAAAGGTTACTGAGCATTTCCGATCGCGCACGACCGCAATGTAGGCCTACAGCTGCGGTAAACAATGGTTTAAGATAAAATTCCCCCATATGTGTAAATTTGGTTCAGGCTCGCTCGCTCCGCAGCAAAAAAGGTTGGGTGAAATACAGTTGTCATTTTCCCGAAAAGTAAAGAAAAATGTCCAACTCGAAGTTTAACTCGAAGTCCAACTCGAAGTCCAATTCGAAACCCGAGTCGAACTCGAACTCGAATCCAACTCGATGTTACCTAACTCCCGGATTATTGGGTCATATTACCCTGCTATTTAGCCTTAATATTGTAGCCATTTTCAGGAAAGGAAGTGCAAACAAGGGCATACAATAGCAATTCTTATTCAACTAATGGGCGACAACTTCTAAATAACAAGGAATCTGAATGACTGTAGGGGTATGGATAGCTTTTTCATGTGCTCTGCCCAGTTTGTATGTTGTAACTTACGTCGAACCATTGCAAGTGAATTTAACAAAGGCCAGTAATTAAAATTGACAAAAATATACACGATAAAGTTGCACATTTCAGGTTGGAGTTTGGTACTATTTCAACTGTCAATTCGACATTGAACTTTGAAAGGTTCAAAACCTATCTGTCTCATGTTTGCTCACTCTATAATTTTGTCTACGCAAAGGTTTTCATCGTAACTTAATAACAAATTATAATTTAGGATTTGGAAATCATTGTGTTTTTTATCAGGAAGCAGTGCGCGCTAACACTCTCTTACAACATTTCGACGGCCATTTTTAAACACCGAATTAAACAGAGTACATAAATAAAATAACACCCGAAATAAAGTTTTTCGTTACTTAAATCTTATCTTTAAGCTTCTTATAATAGCTAAAAGTAACAAAAACATATAAATCTTACACAAGTAATGTTGAAGCCATGACTTTAGAACACCGTATTTGTAATGAAATCACTCTTTATTTTCACGTTTATTACAAATGTAGTTCTGTACAGTAAGTTACTTTCACGAGGAAGTTCAACTAACAACACAACAATCCCATCATGCATTTGTCTCTCAGTATAACGTCATACTAATATTTGGATAACATACAGTTTTATATTGAACTCAACACCCTCACTTGTTATCAGAATATAAACTAATTACAACAACCGAACACGATACTTTTAAAATTATCTAGTTTACATTTTGTGGGTGGCTTTGTTAGGATATCAGCTACCATATATTGGGTAGGACAATATATACAATATCTATCATGCCTTTAACATACATTTCACGTACAGAAAAAGTGGTACTTTATGTCAATATGCTTAAAACCTTGTCTGTTAACTGGGTTCTTATTTGGTGCAATTGCCTCTTGGTTATCAATACTTTATACACTGATGTACTTTTTTATACAAACCGTTTAACAATTGAGTTAGATACAAACACTCTTGAGCTGTATTTGCTAAAGCTACATATTCAGCTTCGCAAGTAGAAATGGCAACCGTTGGTTGCTTTCTCGACTTCCATGAAATCAGTGGTCCTCCTTCAGTTAGAGTACAACAGTAACCTGTAGTACTTCGCCTGTCTTCCAGGCAAGAGGCCCAATCTGAATCACTATAAGCAGTGAGCTGCAAGTCAGCATCAGATTTCTTAAAGCAAAGTTCATAATCCACTGTACCCTTTAGATACCTTAGAACATGTTTGGCAGCAATTAAATCTCCCGTTCTGGGGTTTGACAGAGTTTGAGACAGTCTGCTTACAATCCAACTTAAATCAGGCCTTGTACAGGTCATGGCATAAATTAAGCTTCCTATCATTTCTCTATACTGTCTGGCGTTGGTCAATTCACCACAGTTAATTTCTAATCGTTGCTCACATGGGGTTAACCCATAGAAATAATAGATATAGAATGCGTACTCCTATCTTTTCTCAGTGAAAAATTTGTCTCCACAAAATGGCGGATTTATAAGGGCATTTTGGTTCCCAGACTCCCAGGCGGCAGGGAATTTCAGTGGGAATTTCGCGCGGTTGCAGAGAGTGCAAATTGTTTTTTCAAATGCAAAGTTTGCAAAAATTTTATATCGAGACTTAAAATGGAAAAAAAAGTGAAAAAAGTGTCTAAAAACCCATTCTAGTGGGCTTTTTTACGAAAAGCAACAGTTCTGAACAGAATATATACAGAAATCATCGTTTAAAAATAAATTTTCAACGTTGTTGTGCAAGCCAAAACAAAACCCGAAAGATCAAGACAAACTCAAACTCAATAGGTATGTTCTATAAATATTTCAACTTTTTTATAATATAATATAATATGAAGTTCAGTAATCTTTTTAAACTTACACAATTACTTTTCATATTTTTCTGTGTTGCTTGAGCTTGAGGCAACGCTTTTGAAACCATAGTTTTCGACGATTATTTAGACAATTTACAGTCTATCGACAACTAAATATTTTTGTTTCAAAAAAAAAAAAACCTTCGTTTACATCAAAGAAAAACGAAACCCGACGAAGAAAGAACTATCATTTTGTAATCTTATAAGATATTAGCAAAACAGTGACAGTAGTGACGTTCAAAGCATGCAAAAATGTTTTATGAGTAAATTTCGAGAAACCGGCGAAAATACTTTGTTTACAAGGCTGCACGATTTTCACCGTTTTTGTAACTGCACATTTGCTTTGACAGTTTGTGCCTTCAAAAAACTCAAAATCTATCCCCAAACTACAAATTAGACAACAAGATAAACGTTTTGACGATGAAAACGTAGTTTTAGCTTTGTTTATACTTTGTAGTTTGCACTCCTAGTCAAATTCAAACATGGCGGATTTATAAGGGCACGCATGAGAAAAAGTGGAGACATGATTCGTGATCAAGTACGCATTCTATATCTATTATTTCTATGGGTTAACCTGGGCTTTTAGTCTATCATTCCAAATCTCTCTAGTATTTTATGAATGAATCTTTTCTGATTCATTTTTATTTCACCCTTGCTTTGCTTAAAATCCATTCCAAGGAAGAAAGTGATTCTAACTAGATCTTTCATCTTAAATTGTGTCTTCATCTTAAATTCTTCCATTTACTGCATACTACCTGAAGCTATAATTAGGTCATCAACCCAAACAATAACGATAACAATTTTATCATCAATTACATGTTTCTTATATACACAGTGATCAGCATGGTTTCTGACAAAACCGTCATTTGCTAAATGCTCGTGTAACAATATGTTCCAATTTCTAACTGATTGTTTTAGACCATATAGCGATTTCTTTAGCCTATATACTAACCTCTCACCAATCTCTGAAACCTCTTTAAACCCTTGTGGCTGGTCTATGTATAACTCTTGAGTAATGGGAGCATGCAGATATGCAGTTTTAACGTCCATCTGGTGGACAATAAGATCATGTTTTACTGCTAACTGCATTAAGACCCTAATTGAAGTAATACTGGATATCGGGACACACGTCTCTTGATAATCTATACACTTTACCTGGCTGTAACCCTTCGCTACATATCTGGCCTTAAAGGTCTCTATGCCATTCTGATCTTGTTTGGTTGTGTACACCCATTTTCCCCCCACTGAAGCTTTACCTTCTGGTAAAGTTGATAATTCGTAAGTATCATTCTCCTTCAGAGAGCTGATCTCTTCCTTCATTGCTTGCTCCCACTCCCTAGCTTGAGGTGATCCCATGGCTTCTGTGTAATTTTGTGATAATCTACAAACTTTGTAGCATTAATCTACACTAATGTGGGCATAATCTGCATTCTTAGGGAGAAGGGTGTCCTCTTCTAAGTATATGGGAGGGTTCCTTTCTCTTTGGGGATACCGTTTGGTCTCACTGTCATTCTCAGTATGGTTGCAATGCCTTCCCTCACTATCCCTAGGCTCCTCATTAGGTACTGTATTTGCCGGCATTGCACTTAAAACAGGGAGGCTCATACTATCTAAGTCTGATCTAGTATCATGGTCAGATTTCTCATGTACATCACAGTCCCTGCTGGACTCATCAGTTTGTATGTGCTGTTCTACACTACCTTTCTTGATGAATCTAATGAGTCGATGTTTCATGATTTTCCCATTTTGTGGGTAGTACATTAGGTACGAAGGGCTATTTTTGTCGTATCCTACATATACCCCCTTGCTGCATCTTGAGTCTAATTTCTTATGCTCCTATTCGTAAGCAAAACATTCAGATCCAAAGATCCACATTCTAGAAAGATCAGGTACTTTCCCAGTAAGGCTAAAGTAGGGTGTTGTCTTTGTTCACTTATTAAAACATCTATTTCTAATGTGAGCTGCGGTTTGAATTGCATAGGGCCAGAGAGTTTTGGGTAAACCTGATTGAAGAAGAAGACATCTGCATTAATTACATTAATTTACGCCAAATTACTTTCCATTTCATCATATATTACTATAAAAATGTATTTTTTTTTAATTGTATTCAGCGACTGTATTCACTTTTTTAATTCTCAAAGTGTGTATTAGATGTTTACTGGTTGGGTTTGGGTTTGGGTTTGGGTTTGGGTTTGGGGTTGGGGTTAGGGAAGGGCTTTTGCTTGGGATCAGTTTATCTTATAAATGGAAGCAAATTGGCGTATTTTTTTTGAAGAATCGTTTATGCATGTCTATAAACTTTTTAGCACCTGAAACTAGCCATATAGGGGCACTAAAAACCAAGGACTATATAATTTCTTCGCTATTATCGGCCCATCGTTATTTACGGTTGACATCATAGTGACAGTGGGCTTGTCTTGTCAGGTTGAGTTGCCCGTAGCTGGAGGGTACGATTGAGCCAGGGTCTTGGTACATTATGGTTGATAGTTGCTAATCATGATTGTATTTATTTGTTGTATTTAAATTATCCAGACCTCCTGTATCCCTATCTACTTCTCTACTACATTTTCAGGCCAATGTGAACGCCTGAGCAGGCGTCTTGTTTACTCCTATTCCGTGCACACAATTTAAGAATAAGCTTGCGACTGGGCTTAAATGATGAACAAGAAACAAATTTGTGCATGAAACATAGGGGATATAACCTTCATGTGCAGGCTTGCCATGCTACCAATGATGAATCGTGGAAATGAGCCCATTGGGTCAAAGGTAAACTTCCCTTTAGAGAATTGTCTAGTAATACAAACTTTTGCATTCAGTTCATGTGGCAAAAAGGCAGCACTTTCCTTGCGATAGTAACTCCTAGTTATAGATTTGCACTATATATTGTTCTCCCGAAAAGGTCTTTTATTTTTTAACAAAAATCCATACAATTTGCTTGCGGTTTACGACTTGTATTCTTATCTACCGCACCATAGCACGTATGTCGTCATTTTCAGATCAGTAGTCAAGTCAATATAGGGGATAACCCTAAAAAAATTGCAATAAATTGTTTTACAACGTTTTTATGTAGTTTCAAACATGGGGAATAACATACTAAAAGTTTACTAAAATTGGTCAGGTGGAAACGTCTACTTGTGACGTCGTAAAAAGATGGCCGCCAATGACCAAAATGTGCCAAATATAAACTTTTAGAGAAGCTGTAAAATATAAATTGTAATTGTAATGGTTTATTAACATATACAAATTGTCTATTTGACCTTACTATCATAATATTAAGAATGTTCTAAGCCCCAGAGATGAATATGTCACGTCAGTTGATGACGTCATCAGTGACAAAATGATCTAAAATAATCTTTTTTAAAATTATTGAATATGGCCTGGAGAGTTTCACATACATCTTTAAAGGTTCATATGGTAAAGTTCAGCATTCAAATTTCACTGTTCTTCATCATCAGAAACTGCTTCCTCGCACATTAATATGTGATAATTCACATTGTCCATCTTGACATGATCCGCATGCACGTGAACAATTTAATCCGTGTTTTCTGCATGTACAGCGAAGTGTGCTACATGAACCAAAACAGTTGCAGTGAATCATTTTCAGAAGTGCTTCTGGTGCAGGTGCAGTGTCCATCATACTGGAACTAGGATGTTGCTGTTTTTGTCCCATCCCCACTCTCTTGGGTCTAGAGTCTCATTCATGCCCATCCATTGCATTAGCTGGAGATAGCACCTCAGAGCGTGATGTTTCGTCGCAGATGCTGTTGGTGGGAGTCGTTCAGGTGCGACGAGGTTTTTGACTGCACTTACTTTTTTGTAAAGGGTGGAGTATCTGATTGCAGACAGACTTCTTCTGGGTTTCCCATTGAACAATGCATCCATCGCTGTACAACCAGACTCTACAATAATACCGCGTCTTGGTTTGGTGAAGAAAAGACTTTAGCGCAGCTGTTTAGGGTCGCTTTATTTATAATAAACTTTTGTAAGACAGACTCTTTTCCGATTCCAAAAATCCGTGACGTGGTGTCACACCCCGTGAAAGCATGAAGAAACAACAGATTAAAACAGATATCATTCCCAAGCACCTGCTTTATGACCTTTATGTCTAACACTGTCGTAGGGCTCCCTTTATCCGAGCGGAAGTAGATCTTTTCACCATTGCTCGATGCATGATGAAGCAACAACACTAGCAGATCCGTATCTTCGCCTATGAGACATGTTGTTTTGTAGGACGACGTCGCTACTGCAGCTTTAACGATTTCTACATCTGCATCTCCTTCAGCTTGTATGACATGGCAACCTATGTCCCTCATACTGGTGGATACAAGATGGATTAGGGCCTGTTTGTTTTCATTATTGGAAAGGAAATCTTCTTTCTTCCCTGCAAATTTCGTCGCTTCAGAAATATCGACTTTGTTAGAAATGCGACTTTGACTACGCCGCTAGTGAGTATGGTCCTTAGTGTTTGGTCCGCGACCGTAACCATCGAAGATGACAGTGGCCTTTCCATAATGCTTCACTGTGAAATCTGCATAGTCGTTAGCAATGGAACTATAAGTCTTTCCTTCAGTCCACTTCAATCGATGAAGAAGGGACCCTCCATCTAGGACGTTGTGCTCGACCTCTGGAATATAATGAAGGACTGCTTCATCGGAACAAGATGCAACATGGTTTTTAAGACCATCAAGAATTTGGGCTTTGTCCGCCTTGCGTAGCAGGTTTTTGCCTCAAACAATGATGGAGGGTATGGTGAAAGTTCATAGCTCAATACCTTTTCAAGAGAAAGGTCACCTGTTTGAGATACAACAAGAAACCCCTGGAACAACAGAGCTGGGTCTATTGTTCTATCTTCGGCAAATTTGACCGCGCGAGCAGATGCCAGCGTCCTTGCTTTAAGTTTTCATTTGTAAGCAAAGGAAAACACAGGCTGTTCCTCCATGGTCGCCAAAGTTTCCTTTCCAATGGCAAACAGGTTATGGACGTTTACATCTTTGTTGGCGTTGACACCGGTAATTATGTTGCGCAACGATGCCTCTTCTGGGAAGGGAGAAAATTCTTGGAGTTTTCCTGCAATTTTCTCAAGGTCTTCGTGATTTCTTTTCACCTTTGCCGCAGTCGCTTCTTTGTGCTGTTCGCTGGTAACTAAGCTCTGGTCGGTAAAAGACTGCATCTTATCGCTGTATGCTGAAGACACTGGTGCAGACATAGTCCACAGGACTCTCTGATGTTCAGACATTTCACTTCCTCTCGTGAGACCACCTGCAATCTTTAGGGACCGCATAAGAGTTTGCTCGATTACAAGATCGCAACCCAGTCCAGCCCAATACATCTGATCACTTCGCCTGATAACGTGCAACCCATTCATGAACTTGCGGAAGACCGACTGATTGTTCTTTTCAAGTCTTGTCATGGATTGGAGGAACAGATAAGCCGATTTCAGATAATTTGAATGTCCAGCTGCAGCAAATATAGGTAAACAGTCAGATATAGCATGAAGATGCATCAACCAGGATCCAGTACGGTCAGCTTTGATAAGTTCCCTCGCAGTTCTTATCATCTGCTGATAAATCAGCCACAGTTTGGCGGTGGCAGAGTGAGCTGACAATTCGCCTTCTTTGGAAGACAAGATCTGAGCTATTTCACTAAGGCAGCTAGATGAGATTAACGAATCAAGATCACTATGCCCTGGCACTTCCTGTTCGTACAACTCCTCCAGTTTTTGCAATAGGTTTACAAAGTCAGGGCGGTCGGACAATACCTTGTCAACGACCTGTTGTGTGAGGCACTGATCGAGGAGAAGATGTCCGCGTAATGCTCGTAGAACTGCCTTTCCAGTCATGATATGCTGCACTGCATTTTCGCCGTAAATGGTTCCTAGAATCTCCTTGATTCCACTCCCATCCAGCAACGTTCCTATGGCACCCAGAAGATTCATTAACGTGTGAAAGCTTCCAAGTAGCAACACAACACTTTGAATTTGGCTATCTCCTGGTACCTCATGTTTAATTTCTGAAGCTTTCCAATAAAGTGGCTGATCGAATGTAACAACTGCTGTAGTTTTGTGTCAATTAGCAAGATTGCACAAGTATTCGAGGGTGGAGAAGATGTACGACTTATCTCCAGGATACATGTCAATTATTGGTAGAAAGACGACGGAAGATTGTCCTGGATGATCGCAATCTTTGTGCAACAAATGCATCATTCCCTGCCAGCCTGGCGCGGACTTCTTGAAGCGAAAGGACATTGCCCACAATATATCAACCTTGTGGGCATGGCCGTCAAAGTAAGGCACGGGATCGAATTTAATGTTGTTTCGGGCGTATTTCGCGAACCGATATTCTTTGATATCAACTTGAGCTAGCTCAACAATCTTTAACTGCGCGATCTTTTGTCTGAGAACAGTGTGACTGGTCTGCCTTCCTGGGGTTATGGCTGCTATCATCCCCATGCCGTGAAATGTTCCCTTTCCATCTAACGTGATGATGTTATATTCAACGTTATTAGCTGCAAACAGAAGGGCTGAATCTAGTGCGTTTATCTCACCACCTAGTACGTCCGGAGCAACAGATGCTGCAGCGTTTTCCTCTAAACGTTGAACTTTGGAATATGAGGAAGAATAACCCATTGCCGCAAGAGTATCTACTAGAAATCGTGACCTGAAATGGTGATGCATCTGCACTGCTAATCCAATCTGTAATGGGGCTACTACAGCCCTAGATCGTACAGCTTGGATGATACATTGCCCAATACTTGCTTCTTTCCTGCGAATATCCTTTCCAACAAGGAGGTTTTTGGTTAAGCAGTGTAAGCTAGGTGGAACATACTCTAATGCGGAATTTAATTCAACATCTGAAGCTTTTGGATACTGATCTGTTGAAAGTGGAATCATTGACGTAATGTCGCTCTTGATGAGTTTGGCTGCAGTCTCTATAATAGCGCTCTTTCGGGCTCCTTCATCCATTTCCGGTTTACTGAAGTAGTCCCTTAGGATACTACTGGTCTTCTCACGGAAAGTGTCGATGTCATGTAACCCATTGTCCTCGGCTATGAATATTGACTCACCGTAATGTTTCAACAGCTTGGACTTCAGATATTGATTACCATAGGCAACAGAGTCTTGTTTTACCAGATATTCACCCATTTTATCAGCAAGATCTGATACTGTTAGTTGCTCTTCATCGTTTTCCTCGAAGAAGGAACACATCCTTATAAATGCTTGCTCTTGGTCAGCATCCTTTGGCCTCCCACCTTGCGTGCTTTCTTTTCAGTAATTCCAACTTGGTGCTGCATGGGAATACCTCTATTTGTGCGAAAATGAATGTCACATGACCGATGATACAGACTGTCTGCTGCATGCAAATCCTTTCCAAAGTACTCTATTCTCCCTTGAACAGTAAATGCCCAATCATCGTTACGCTGTTTGCAATGCGACAAGACTGTTTCCACAAATGTATCTGTTTTAACACAGCTGTATTCTTCAGAATATACGCCACTACTTGATGCCTTTACTATTTCATTTCCGCAGAATAAACAATGCGTTCTGCTGTCATAAGGCCCAATAGAAGCGCGTGCACTTCGTTTGACAGGTAGGGACGGCTTGGTGAACTTTGCCTTCTTATACAAATCTATTTGCTTCTTATTGATGTAATTCATGCGACATTTTTTGTGCACTACAGTCCCAGAACATGCAACGATCCTATCACCAATTTCAATGCTGGCACGGTTGATTCCTTCAGCCCCTTTCTCACCAACCACTACTCGTTCTTCAGCTCTTAATACATTGTCGCATAAAGGACAATTATCCTGGCTTGCTCTCATTTGAGCGTCTGAAATGCAAAATGAATAATTCTACAGGGAAGAATACGTGGTTATAGGTACTTTTAAGCCACTGGGAAACATAAAACTTCTCAATACTTTGTAGCGATTCGACAGAAAATGGCATTGTTTGAAGACGGCACTGAAAAGGTTTTAGTACGATCCGCAAAGTGTATTTGACTTTTTCTGTTCAATGGGCAGAATAGTTTTCTTTTCCTGCTTTTATAATTATTCAAGAAAAATGTTGTTAATTTAATTAAGAACGTTTTAAAAGCAAAGATACGTACTTGTCTATACTACAGTAGCAGAGATCATACTTCAAGATGCATTTTCTTCAGATTTATTTTATGTTGTTATAACATGAGTGGCAGCCATGGTAATACGGTTTTTTCCCTACAATTTTCCTGTTGCATTTTTGCGTACAACAACAAAAATAAAGGGAAAAATATATTTTTGACCATAGAATTTCCAGTTCCCGATTTGTACAACGTATAGACAAGTTATTAGACATTGTATAAGTATAATTTTGTTTTGATTTGAACATTTCAAAAAGTTTTATGAGCGGCAGCTTTTTGACAATTCTACACTTTGGCGAAAAAATCTGTACTCCTGCCTATATTACATGAGTATGATGAGGTTTTATATTGCAAAAAGCCTCACATGGGCACATTTTAAATTTCTAACGCCAAAGACTAAAATTTTATTAATATATTACATGTTATTGTGTATTTTTGTTTTTCGCTAAATATATTACCATTTCCAAAATAATTTAAACTTTAAAACAAAGCCAGAAGTACGACCACAATAAAGCCGTAGAGGTGTAAAACAGAAAAGAAGTTAACTCACCTTGTTTCCTTTATATAATTTTACATTTTCACCTTTTGAACTACAACACTTATTAGTTTATTGCTTGCAACACGAGAGGAAAGAAATGAGATAACAGAACATCAATGCCATGACGTCATTGATGACGTCATAACATGACACAGCATAACATTCTGGGAGGCCTATAATATTGCTACTATTGTGATATTAGAGTTTTTTGGACAATTTGCACAATCTATTACAATTTCCAGCGTTTCCATAAGTAGATATTTGACATTTTTAGGCATTGGCGGCCATCTTTTTATGACGTCATGAATAGACGCTTTCACGCGTGACCAATTTCGGTAAACTTTAATTATGTTGTTCCCCACACTTGATACTACCAGAAATTACCTTAAAACAATTTGTTGCAATTTGTTTATGGTGGAAGCGATTATTTCATATTTTGACTAGACTACAGTGTGAGCAGGCGTCTTGTTTATTTAAAAACGCGATTCGCGGTTTTAAAGGCTAGCCGGTGCCAGGGCCTTTTCGCATCGCCGAAATTTCAAAAAGGCCCTGGGAACGAGGTTGGCTTTTGCAGATATATTTGCTGAATATTAATGATATGTATCTATTATTTGCAACGAATACAGTAAAAAATTACATATATCATGCGTGAAGCTTCTTTAAAGTCAAAAATGAAAAATCGAAGACCGTCAATCGATGCGGAATATTGCTTAGAATAATTATGTCAAGTTTCATTCCGATCGGACAAGTAATGACCGAGCCTTAAGGTTTTTCAAACAACAACGAAAACGACAACGACAACGACAACGACAACGACAACGACAACGACAACGACAACGACAACGACAACGACAACGACAACGACAACGACAACGACAACGACAACGACAACGACAACGACAACAACAACAACAACAACAACAAAAACAACAACAACAATGTTTAAAGATACTGTGATGGAAATTATCGAGTGAAAATTTGTATACATTTATTAGAACTAACCCGAAACAGCTGCGAAAAACGCAACTTTAGGTCCCTGGCAGGTATCGAACCTGCGACCTCGCGATTTTCAAAACGAGTAGGATGGCAACAAAATCTTGATAGTCAGAATTTATGCATTTTACATCATTATCGGCTATAGTTCATGTTTTTACTTCTTTACCAATTCAAAGTTGCTGACATATATGTCTCAAAACCGAGACAGTTTCCTACTGAATTCGTCGTTGCGTTCGCGAACTGCAACAAAATTCAGTATTCGGAACTATTTACAACGGTTGGATGATTGTGTAATCAATACAGAACTCTGGGACCCGCGGATAAGTGATTTTTTCAACCTTTGTAAACTGCTTGAAAAACTGTGAAACTACATATATAGACGACACAAAAAGTATAAAAAACATTTAACTTATAAATACTAAACTTTGATACGAGTTATATACCAATATATATATATATATATATATATATATATATATATATATATATATATATATATATATATATATATATATATATATATATATATATATAGCTTAAGATTTTGGTTTACGAAACACAAACAGTGCTCAATACCATATAGATAGAGCGTAATATAGTTTTTCGTTTTACCTCAACAAACCACAACAGTCTGTTTCATCCGTATAGGAATCATCAGGTGGTCCACCTATACGGATGAAACAGACTGTTGTGGTTTTTTGAGGTAAAACGAAAATATATATACAGCACTAAACTGGTGAGGCCCATAAGGCCGAAACGGTACCGTCTGTAGTTAGATATCGTTCTATGGCCTTTAGGTCATATTGAGCGCTCTACATGATGAGCCATGCCGCTTACGCATTGCGCACGCTCACTGCTTGCAGTTTGAGCGCTCTGGCATGGTTTTGATGTCCCACAATCGTGAGGCATCAAAGGTAACTGTAAATAGCAGTTATTTTCATCCTGCTCATCAGCACTACACTGATGAGGCCCATAATGCCGAAACGGTACCGCCTGTAGTTATATATATATATATATATATATATATATATATATATATATATATATATATATATATATATATATATATATATATATACGTTAGGTACTTGTTTCCAAAACGTTTTGATTACGAATGTTCTCTGATTACGAATGTTCTTAATGCAATAATGGACGTTCTTATGATCTCACTAAGACGGGGATTGACGAGTTGGGCTTATTTTAGATAATTTAACATTCAATTTTAATTCCCTCTTGGGAATTGTTTATGTTTAGTTTTCCATGCAATTCCCTACGGTGGAAGAATGTGATTTCGACCGGCAATTTTTATTTGAGTATATATATATATATATATATATATGTTTCGGCGTCCTACGCCTCATCAGTGCAGCTTGGTACACTTCTAGACACGCGATGACTTTCGTATTGATATACATGACACTTGCTCTCCCTAGCGCATGTGGTACAACACAAGCCTTCAACGCATCCAGACATGCGCAGAGTGACATGGGGCCAGAGTGCTCAAACAACCACGAGGGAAGTGAGCTTTGCATTATTGCTAATGGACATCCAATTAACTCCACAGAGTGCTCTACAACACCGAAGTGAAAGAGCGTAATATATATATATAGCTAAATAAATTCACCGCATTAATTTTGTGCCATCTACAATATAAATCAACATGCAGTTTAATCATGCAAACCTGATAAAGAATCATTTATAGTTGGAGTGTTTCGAATGTTTCTTCATTAAAACGTTACTATAGAGAAGAATTGTTAATGCTATATCCCAACTAACGGCAAAATTTACTCGGAAATCGTATAGAATATGGTCGCTTTAAGGACAGACAAAACTAGTTTGTATATTTGGCATAAAACAAGGCTTATATATACTCAGTAAATTCATTCGGGCGCAGTGGTGAATGTATCAGTAAGGAAAAATTAAATTCGCTACTAAAATTTACTAAATTTTTCGACCATTGATGACGCAGTCGTCAGCGTAAGCACCGTAAGCTATACGGACTGCATGTGTGTTTGCCGAAAGATCTGAGTTTAATTTCTATTATTACGCTACAGACTCAACGCTTTGCCGAACGTTATGGGTTTTCTACGAGTGTTCCGGGTTAGGATAAACACAGTTATGCAGGTAAGATCACAATTGCTGTAAAGATAAGATAAATTCCTAGGAATAGATAACACTGAGTTGAGCGTAATACTTGTTTAATTTATATAATACTCCACGGTGAGCTGAATAATGAACGTATCTAGGCCTACAGAAAGTTTCGATTTACATGCATGCAGTGTAAATATATCAATATCCAAGAATACATGTTCAATTGTTTGCAGTGTAAACGTCCAACGTAACAGAATACTCCAATCCCAATTTGGACGTTAGCGAATCTAGTGAAATCTTTCGCCATAACCGCGTCGTCCTAATAATTATTATATAAAGTGTGTATTTGCAGTTTTTAGACCTGCATGTTCAATAGAGAGTTTAAACTTCGCATTATACGTCAAACGCCAAACGCCAAAAAATGTTTTATGGTATCAGGCAATAAAGAGTAAATGTGTTTCAAAGCTGCAATGCATACTAATTATTCTTTCGACACAAGAACGAAAATATGAAACGAAAATAATTAACGAAAATATTGGCAAGAAGTTCGAATCTGCCGTTTGCCGTTGCCTGGAAACGTGAAGCTTAAAATCTCTAATAGTATACTCCGGCCCCTGCATTGCACTATATACTATAGGCCCCTGCATTTCACTCGCGGAGAGGGGGCACGGGGGGGGGGGGGGCAAAATTCTTGTGACACCGGTCTCGCCAAAATTGGGCGGCCTCTCATCGGGCGGCCACTGCACGTCCGTTCTCACGGAAACTTTTCTCTTCGCACGGACCTTGCACGCTCGATCTCGTCAAAACTGTTCTCCTTTGAGGGCCACTGCACGTTTCTCGTACCTAGAATATGTCAGTTCGCAGGTATGGGAGATATTTTTAACCCATGGGCATCCGTGCATGGTTATGGTTACGTTGGCATGATCTTGAATTGTTGAGCTTTCGTTGACATTTTCGCGTCTCATTGATTGATATTCCTATATATATCAGACATAAATGGTATTTTCTAATGACTTTCTGTCGTCTGTGTTATATATACGCTAGTTATGGAAAAAATGGCGTTGTGGTCATCCTTAAATTTT